GACACCACCCCTCCCGCGGAAAAATCCGCTCAGCGGCCCGCGGGTGGGGTGCGCCACGCGGTGAGTAATCGCTGGGGCGGACACCGCCCGCCCGACTCCAGGTAACGAACGCAGCCGCCCGGAGCGACACATAGTTTGCTTGCTTTTTGCGAAGGGATCTTTCTAGGCACTATTATTTTTGGCCACCGCTCGGGTTTCGGGACCCCTCCCGTCCTGGGCGCCTCATCCCTCCTCCTGTTGGTCTCCACCCGATCAGGGCGCCCACGAATAAAGGGTTCCCGGGCTTGGAGCCTAGAGGCCACAGCGGAGGGGGCGCCTGGAATGAGTCTTTCTCCCAGGAATCGGCTGGTGGGCGCCTCAGCCACGGGTTTGGTCGCAGCTGGAACCTCAGCCCCGTGAGTGTTGGGGCCATGACACCCCTCAAGGTTCTGTTAGACTAGAGTTTGAGACCCCTTACCCACACCAGCTTCCTGCTTGAAAATCCAAGCATCTGAGGGTGGGGTCAGTGGAAGGGAAGTCACAATTTGCCAGTTCAGACCCCATACAACAAAATTTAACAGGAACGTAGGGGTTGGGGGCGCTGTGTCAGCCATGGGGACCCGGTATGGGGTGTATGGAGGAGAATAAAGTTGGAAAGGGGGCAACGCAGCCCCCTTTGGCCTCAGCTTACCCTTCTGCACCTCCAGCCAGCCTGGTAGGTTTCAGTGGGATGATTCGATGGGAAGGACGCTAGCACAGCCCACTGGACTGCTCCAGGGGTGAGCTGGCCCCAGGGCCTCAGCTTGCTCCTTTCCCAAATGGGGGCCCAAAGCCCACCTGCCAGGTGATCCATAGGATTAAATGGAGGTGGCAGCTGGAATTGCACTTCCGGCGTGTGCTAGCCCCTGCAGGCTCACCACTTTCCTTTCCAGGGCTCTGAGGAGGAGGGGAGTGAAGGTGGAGTCCTTGCTTGGAGAACTTCAGCACAACTCCACATGTCTCCTCTAGTTACTCCCATCCTGAGGAAGGGTTCCCTGTACACCCAGGTGCTTCAAGTGGGGACCTGGAGGCGAGCGTGACTACACTCTCCTTCTCTCATCCCCCTACGTCCAATCCATCAGCAGATCCTGCTGGCTCTGATTCCAAAATCTATCCCTCCCGATTCAGAGCATCTGCCCGCTGCTTGTCTCCACCGCTGCATCCAGGCCCCAACTGGCGCTCTCCCGGACCTTGCCCAGCCTCCTCCCAGCTTCTGCAGACCTCTGAGGGAGCTTGTCAAAGAAGCAAACCCTGGCATCTTTCCCAGCGCCCTCTCCCTCCTCTGACCCCTCCTCTGGTTTGCTCTGGTCCAGGCTCATTACAGCTGTGGAGCACATTCGCGGGTTCCTCGTGGGGATCTTCCCCAAGTCTTCTCCCAGCTAGCGCCTTCATACAGTCACAGCTCAAAGTCACCTCCCAGCCACCTGCCTACCCCCTTCACCTTGTTTCATTGTCCTTGAACTCCTCCAGGGTTCTCTTTTCTTTTGCACACTTCTTTCTTTACCTTGCGAGCCTCAGCAATGCCCTTCCAGCGTGGGCCACACTAGAGTTTAACCAATATAGGCCGTTTTAAAAGACAAGAGTAATTTTCAGCCCCACCCCACCCCAGGAGCAAGAAGGCTCAGAGCATGCTTCTCAGGGTCTCAGCCAGGCCCCCCACCAGGCAAGCTGTGTGACCTAAGCCAGCAGCCAGCCCTCTCTGAGTTTCATGATTTTTACACACAGAAGACCATTGGAGTTTGATGCTGCCCAGTCCTGCCTTCTAGGGTGGCCCTCTGGGTGACTGACTTGAAGAAAAGAGGGTAAACTCCAAGTTGCATTCTTTCCTACCCTGGGTCCCCCTGTGGTTTAAGTTCTAAGGGCCTTGAGAAACTTGTGGCAAATATTGACCCAAGTTCTTGAGAGTGGCTGGGAATGTTCTAAGGGGCAGATGGAAGGGGGAGGGTTGCTGTTCTCCTCAGGGAGCTAGCTGCATGGACTGAGGGGGTCCTTCCTAGTCCTGTCTCTTCCACCTAAAGATCACCTCTGAGTGAGGAGTTGAGATTAGGGATGATGACTTTTTTTACAGGGTGCTAAGGGGAGTTTTAGGTTAGGGAGTTAGCGGTAACAGGGACTCCCAGGGTATAGGAACCTGAACCTAGGCGCCCCCCACCCCCACCCCCGTGAAGATGAGCTGCCAGGAGTTCCAGTCCCATTACTACCAGAAAGGTGTCAGATGAGTAGTACCTGGGCCTTGTGGGTACCCTGTAAGTGGGGGGCCCAGCTGCAGATCCATAGGCCTAGAGATGGACTTCAGAAGCAGGGGCCAGTGTAGGTCCTAAATGTAATTCTTTCACACCCCTAAGGCAGAGCTTGGAGCCTTGAGGCACCCTGAGCTCAAACATTCAGATTCCTGCCCACCCGCCTCCGAGCAGGAAAGGAACCTTGGTAGGGCAGTGGTGAACTGCCAGGTCAGCAGTTCAAAACCACCAGCCTATTCCTGGGAGAAAGATGAGGCTTCCTACTTCCATAAAGCGTTAGAGTCCGGGACACCCACAGGGTGTCCTGCCATGTAGGGTGGCTATGGGTTGGAATCGACTAGATGGCAATGAGTTTGAAGTGTTTTTTGCAGTATGAGAGGGTGTGTTCTTGGGAGAGCTGGAAGCATCCTCAGGGGACCCTGGCTGGACAGGGAGCACCAATGGAGGAGACCTGGATTCCCAGTCCCTTAGCGCCTTGGAGCATCTCAGAGTCTGGGTTCTTGGAGGCCCGGCTGCGTTTTGGGTGGGGGAGGATAGCTACTGCCGCCCTTCCCCCCTACACCCAGCAACCGCCGGCGCCGCGGTGCCGCGCCTCCTCCCCTGCCTTGTGCAGGCTTAGGGGTGGGGGTCAGCGGGGTCGTGGTGAGGGCGGCAAGGGACAAAGGGCGCTTGTCCACAGCTCGCCCTGACCTCGGCCGCTGCTTCCCGGACGCTACGGCCGCCGCTGATTCACACCCAGCGGCCGCATCGCCCCCCCTCCCGCTTGCCGCCCCCGGGCTGGGCCGCCCCGGGGGGTAGGAAGTGGGGGGGAGAGGGGCGGCGCCGAATCAACTTTCCCTCTTAAGCCCCGAAGGAATGTCGGCGGATTTCCTGAAATCCGACCCCGGCCGCCCGGCGGCCCACCCGCCCCTCACCTGGACCCGCTCCCTCGGGAACAGCAGGAGGGGCGCGGGGGCTCACCTGGGGGGCCGAGGTCAAGTCCTCCTTCCGCTCCACCCTCCGCCCCCCTCCCGCCCCCAGCGGCTTCACAGGGCGGAAAAGGGGTGGGGGCCGCGACAATCAAATCCTCTTCCTCCTCCTCTGGACAACTTGGGCCAGCAGCCCACCCACTCCAACCTCAGTTTCTCCTTCTGCAAAAGGACGTGCTTGGGTATTCCTCTCCAAAGTGGAGCTTTCCACCAACGGCCGCCTACGCCAGACGCCCCTCGGAGCGGCTCTCGCGGACTCTGCTTCTCTCGCTCTCTTGCTACCTGGGTTGGCCCCCTTCGCTTCTCTCAGCCTCAGTTTCCTCATCTGTAAACTGGGCAACGCTTCCAGTAGCTACCTTACAGAAGTGTTAAAAAAATATTAAGCTGGAAATGCGTTGTTTGGAATGGATGGATGGGATGGAATGACGGTTGTGATCAGCGAGCGCTCGAACGCGCGGGACCCTGGAAACGGCAAATGTGTGTGGGCTCCAATCCTCAGCTCTGCGAGGGCCCGGGAACCTCGGTTTCCCACCTGTGAAATGGGGAGCAGGACCATTCCCGAGGGCGCAGGACCGGCGCGCGGTGGACTGGCCGCGGGGTGCCTTGGTCCGC